ATTCTTCTTCGGCCACTTAATTTAAAGACAATTTGATGTTTGTAGGTCCTTATTTTCCGTACAAACAATTATTTTTATTTCATGGGTGACTTTCGCTAGATTTCACAATTAATCTCGATTATTCCCAAATTTATATCGAAGTTATAAAAATTGTTATCGTTCAAAAATTTCGTCTCAAAAAATCACCAAAAAACATCCCCGAAAACAATGGCAGTAATGAAAACTTGCGAATCCAGTATTTCAGGATTGCAGCTCCAGAACCGTCCGTGAATGGTTTTAATTTGCTCGGGGCGTCGGTCTGTTTACAAAATGATATCATATGTCGTGATACGGCCTCTAGGAGTAAAGTTGAAAAAGTGTGACACACTGACATTCGCATTTATTTATGTGGATTTTATGGGCATTTTCAAATACCTATCTCTACGTGCTTGTATGCACTTATGTGTTCGCAGATATTGGGGTTATGATTTTCACCTTTTTTTCCTACGAATGAATACCAACTCAAGATACTTTTATGCTGCCAAAGATTCTGGACAGTGATAGTGTCGAAAATTTATCGACTTCCTCTCTTGGCTCCCACTGGGGAAAAATATTCACAATGTAAGATGTCGTCGTTGAAAAGGGCAAAGTAACGGAGGAAACCAAAGTTTAGGGGAATAATTCCTGCATTTTTGACTGCTTGACCAAATTCCAGATAGAAGATAATCTGCTGTGTTGAAAAAAAAAATTGCTCGGTCTGCTGCTGCTGGGAGAGTTGTTTCGCAGAATCTATCTTCAACCTTTATAAATCTACCATTTTTCCATAGATTGAATATTGCTGCTTCATCAAGTCTGATCTTCTGCTGTGTATCTAGAGATTCTTGACAACATCGAAAAAAATAACTTGATATGTTTTTAGACCTAACCTGATATCTAACCTAACCTTAAGTTCACTACTAGATTGATAGCAAGGTCTCATGGTTTTATAGTTGAAATTACCAAATATAATCATAAGTTCTATACCAAAAGTTTCTTTTCTCACATTTCTCGCTTTTAGAACTTTCTTCCGGTTCCTTTATTTCCATCCAACGTTGAATTTCAAAAATTCAAACGCAATGCCAATCGTTATATACTGTCTTCTTGATTCCTCTTCGTTTTATTTTTCTCTTTTTTCTTATTCTTTCACACTCACTAACCGTTTGTGCCTTAGTGGCTTTACTGCCTTGCTTGGGGTGAAATACTTAATATATATATATATATATATATATATATATATATATTAATATATATATATATATATATATATATATATATATATATATATATATATATATATATATATATATATATATATATATGTATATATATATATATATATATATATATATATATATATATATATATATATATATATATATATATATATATATATATATATATATATATATATATATATATATATATATATATATATATATATATATATATATATATATATATATATATATATATATATATATATATATATATATATACACACATATATATATATATATGTATGCATGTATATATATATATATATATATATAATAAACAATAAAATCCAAAATCACCTCATATGAAGATATTCGTCGCCTGTCTTATCAACCCCGGTGAGGATTGACACGAACTCAGTGCACACCGGGGTTAATAAGACAGACGACCGATATCTTCATCTGCCGAAATATGAGTTTGTTTTGGAGTTTATTGTTTATTAATTAGTTTCTCTTTAATAATAAAGACATTGAGCTCTTTTTTGTGGAACAGTTTTAACATTTTTTATTACTAAGATCAACTATATCAAAATACCAATGTAGTTTTATCTTTATAGTTCGCATTCTGACCATGAGACCCAAGTTCGAATCTCACCAATGTTATCGGAGTTGATTGGAAAGTTCCTGAAAACCATATCCTCTGAGTGAAATTGGGTACACGGAACACCTGAGGGTCGTCGATAGCTGTGCTAGCACGAAGTCAAAAGTCATCGTGGCCGAGGGCTTGAGCGTATGGCCTTGTTCAAATTGTTGATCACGCTAAATAACACGCTCTTTCCCAGAAACTGTAACTAAGGTCTGCTCAGCAGAGTTGCTGTATAAAGCACAGGTGGGCTCTATGGGAGTTGAACAACCAAAAAGCAATAGGGATCAGCTAGCCACCCTAGAAGACGGGTATCCTCGAATATATAATTATATAATATATATATATATATATATATATATATATATATATATATATATATATATATATATATTTTGTTATGGGATCTTACCCATAATAATAATAATGGATTATTCCATACTTAATAAATACTGCGCCTCAGGAGTAGGCAAGGAGCCAGTCCAGCTCACTTTCTGAGCGACTGTTCGGTTTGAACTCTCTTCCTACGGGCGAGAGGAACCCGAAGGAGGCTACGCCGAAGGGCAAAGTCTCCTTCGGGGAGGGAAAACCGGCCCTGACCCCGTTTATACGGGTTCAAATGGGCTATTTTTTGGCCGAGCCTAATGGCTCGGGAATGCCCACGTTAAAAAGGCCTTGTGCCACATGACACCCTCGTTGACTGAATATCGCCAGTCGCTCACTTTCTGAGCTACTGTTCGGTTCAACTCTCTGTCTACAGACGGAGAGGAACCCGAAGGAGGCTACACCGAAGGGCGGAGTCTCCTTCGGGGAGGTAAAACCGGCCCTGAACTCGTTTATACGGGTTCAAACGGGCATATTTTTGGGCCGAGCCCACGGGCTCGGGAATACCCACAATAAAAACCGACCTTGTGTCACATGTTGCCCCAGTGGGGTGGGGGACTGAATATTGGATGTCATTCAATTTTGAACAGACTGCTCGGTTTGAACTCTCTTCCTACGGGCGGGAGGAACCCGAAGGAGGCTACGCCGAAGGAGGCTAGGCCGAAGGGCGGAGTCTCCTTCGGGGAGGTAAAACCGGCCCAGAACCCGTTTATACGGGTTCATATGGGCTATTTTTTGGCTGAGCCTAATGGCTCGGGAATGCCCACGTTAAAAAGGCCTTGTGCCACATGACACACTCGTGAGGGGGGGTGACTGAATATCGCCAGTCGCTCACTTTCTGAGCGACTGTTCGGTTCAACTCTCTGTCTACGGACGGAGAGGAAACCGAAGGAGGCTACGCCGAAGGGCGGAGTCTCCTTCGGGGAGGTAAAACCGGCCCTGAAACCGTTTATACGGGTTCAAATGGGCTATTTTTTGGCCGAGCCTAATGGCTCGGGAATGCCCACGTTAAAAAGGCCTTGTGCCACATGACACACTCGTGGGGGGGTGACTAAATATTGCCAGTCGTTCACTTTTGAACCGACTGCTCGGTTTGAACTCTCTTCCTACGGGCGGGAGGAACCCGAAGGAGGCTACGCCGAAGGGCGGAGTCTCCTCCGGGGAGGTAAAAACCGACCCTGAACCCGTTTACACGGGTCCAATGGGCATATTTTGGCCGGGCCCACGGGCTCGGAGATCCCACGAGCTTGGAAATCCCACGGGCTCGGATATCCCACGTTAAAAAGTGCCACATGACGCCCTCGTGGGGAGGTGACTGAATATCGTCAGTAGTTCAAGAGAGTCAGTAGTTCAAGTCGAGTCAAGAGCCGAGTCAGAGGCAGCCCGAAACAGAGTCGCGTTCAGACAATTACTGCAAGACATTGGAATAGAGATATGGTCGAGACTATATTGTTCTGTCTACTAAAGCTGATTGTTCATACTAACACTTCTACTTCTTTGTATATACTCTTGTTTGTAATATGTGTTATTCCATACCTGTGTTCGAGTTCTTTATTGGTTCTTCCTTGGACTATCACTGTGCTACAAAGAACCGGTCCATAACAATTATATATATATATATATATATATATATATAATACAAGTAAAAGGTTCGTCACCAAGCTGATTGATGTTATCCTCATCATCTCTTACCCTAGTGTTTCATAGAGGAGCTTTCCAGGAAGCACTGGTATCAGCATTATGGAACTCTCTTCCAGCTTCTTACTTTTTAGTCAATTTTGATAAAAAAAAATTAAATGTTATGTCAATCGTTATCTTCTATCTACTTAATACCTGTTCTTTTATTGTCCTCTCTTGATTTTTCTCGGATTCTTTCACTTTCGGTAACCCCTTGTGCTTCAGTGGCTTTATCGTCTTGCTTCAGGCGAAATGATTAAAAACAAACCCTGACATACCACCCTCTGTTCTCAGTGGTCAATACGTGCGGCCTTACCACGCCTTCTAGTTGAAAGTGTGCCGCATAATGCCAGAGCAACTATTAACCAGATCTACAAGTGTGATGCCCACGTGGCATAGCGGTCATGGGTCATGAAGGTGATAGCAGCGAACCAAATGCTAATTTCGAATATTCAGTGATGTTGTATTCACTTTCACACAAATGCTTTTGTGAAAAGTGTTAATCTTTGATACACCTCCTACTTCCTGTCTTCTCTTGTTCCTTCCTTTCTTCTCCTCCTCCTCCTTCTTATTTAAGTGTAATACTCTTTCCTAGTTCAAGTCCATTCTTATTTCATTTCGTCGTCTTCTTTTTCTTCTTTTCCTTCTTTTTCCGGCTCTTTCTTCTTCTTTAGATTAACGATGTTTTGTGACGTACGGTAGCCGTTAATGATTAAGTATGACTAAAGACTTCAACGTTAAAATAAGTATTTAATTAAAACCGCAAATAAATACTTAAAAAGAACAAAGTAGTCAAACTCATCCAAAGATAATTAACCATTTCATTGAATTATTTGTTTGTAACGTGGCTCGACTTAATGTCCGGTAAATGCTAAATCAAAACCCAAATCTTCGACGCACAATAATTCACACTAATTCGACTGGATAGTTCCACTTAATAATCACCCCAGTCAGTAGCCTGAAACCGCTATTTATACACCTAGCGGAAAACATATTCATAAGTCGGGAGTGTCATGCTTGAACCTCGTTGTCGGTAGTTACTCATTTTCTTTCTATAAGACACAATGTCATACACCTTCCTTCTTTATGTTTCTTCTTCTTCTTCTTCTTCTTCTTCTTCTTCTTCTTCTTCTTCTTCTTCTTCTTCTGTGCCCCCTTCTTCCTTTTCTCCATCTTCTCTAAAACTTCGTCATTGCCAACATGTTCAGTTCATAGTATTTCCAGCACCCTTCTGTAGAACCGCTATTCAGACTTTCAATTTTTCCGTTGCTCAATCCCTTATCAAATAGCCACCTCGTTTCCCTAATAAATCCAACATGCTTCCTTATTTGATTTGTTCCTTGCCTTCTCTCCTAGCACTTGTCGAGCCTCACAATACCGTCCTCTCGGTAACTGATCACGCTATAGTATCTATTAATATAGCGTTCCAGTCCTCACAAATAAAAGTTCTCATGAACGATCACTATTCTAGATCTTTTCATATATCGATGTTCCCCAGGGCTCTATTCTTGGGCCTACTTTGTGCTTAATTTTCTTCCATGACATTGCTGATGGCATCATCTCTCAACTTGGTGTCCATGTTGATGACAAAACCATTTACACCTGTCCCGATAGTAAATCTGATCAGATCGATATGGTCAAACTGGCGGATAATCTTCAGTCTGTTGTTAACTGGGGCAAAAGATAGCTTGTTAATTTTAACGCCGCCAAAAGAAAACTTCTCTCTATTAATCATATGCGAGACTCCTTTCTGTCTTCTATCAGTATGGCTGTCACTGACTCGTTCAGTCTTCTTGGGCTAAAATTCTCGGCTGACATGAAGTGGAAAGACTATATTGAATCCATTGCTAGGTCTGCAGATAAACAATTTTTTTTTCTTCTGAATCTATCTTACGTAGCAAATTCAAAATGACATAGCCAAGTTCAGAATGGGATGTAGCAAATTCAAAATGAAATAGCGAAGTTCAAAATGGGATGTAGCAAATTGAAAATGAAATAGCCAAGTTCAGAATGGGACGTAGCAAATTCCAAATGAAATAGCCAAGTTCAGAATGGGACGTAGCAAATTCAAAATGAAATAGCCAAGTTCAGAATGGGACGTAGCAAATTCAAAATGAAATGGCAAGTTCAGAATGTGACGTAGCAAATTGAAAATGAAATAGACAAGTTCAGAATGTGACGTAGCAAATTCAAAATGAAATAGCCAAGTTCAGAATGGAACGTAGCAAATTCCAAATGAAATAGCCAAGTTCAGAATTGGATGTAGCAAATTCAAAATGAAATGGCCAAATTCAGAATGGGACGTAGCAAATTCCAAATGAAATAGCCAAGTTCAGAATGGGACGTAGCAAATTCCAAATGAAATAGCCAAGTTCAAAATGGGACGTAGCAAATTCCAAATGAAATAGCCAAGTTCAGAATTGGATGTAGCAAATTCAAAATGAAATGGCCAAATTCAAAATGGGACGTAGCAAATTCCAAATGAAATAGCCAAGTTCAGAATGGGACGTAGCAAATTCAAAATGAAACGGCAAGTTCAGAATGTGACGTAGCAAATTGAAAATGAAATAGACAAGTTCAGAATGTGACGTAGCAAATTCAAAATGAAATAGCCAAGTTCAAAATGGGACGTAGCAAATTCCAAATGAAATAGCCAAGTTCAGAATGGGATGTAGCAAATTGAAAATGATGGTAGCAAGTTTGAATTTGGGACTAAGCAGATTCATTATAGAAAAATGTTTCAAACTTATCTGCGCGTTTCAATAAACAAATATCATGAATAAAAAAAAATCAACTGAGCGATAAATCAGATAATTAAAAATCGAAGCGTAGCGTTGCGTAGATTTTACTATCAATTCCTTACAAGAGGCTATTCTTGAATGGATAAATCTGTGTTAAAGTTAAAGTTTCTGGCACTTTCATTGGTAAGACAATTAGGGAGAAGAGAAAAAGAAAGAAAGTTATGGATTAGACTGAATATAGTGTTAAAAAAGAGAGAATAATAGGGAGGTATTCAAAATGAAATTTTTTGGTGGACAAAAGGGCAAATCTCGAAAGTCGTAAGAAAAATCAGCAATGAAATACTGAATGTATATATCATGACCGAACTTGAAAAAAGATAGCTAAAAGTTGAAAGTTGCATCCAAAAAACATGCAACTTTCATGTATTTTCTTGATTTATTGATTGCTCCTAGAAGATAAAACTTTTCAATAGTAAAGTTTAGTTGAACATTATTATATAATCATGAAAATACTTAATTTTAATGTATTTAGCAAAATAATTGCTCAGTCCCAAATTGAATTTGCCTAATCCATTTTGAATTTTCTATTTCCCAATATAAAGTTGACTATTCCATTTTGAATTTGCTATGTCCCAATTTAAATTCGACTATTCCATTTGGAATTTGTTATCTCCTAAATTAAATTTGACTATTCCATTTTTAATTTGCTGACCCAATTTAAATTTGACTATTTCATTTTTAAGTTGCTATGTCCCATTTTGAATTTGACTATCCCATTTGGAATTTGCTGTGTCCCAATTTAAATAATTTGACTATTCCATTTTGAATTTGACTATTATTCCATTTTGAACTTGGCTATTTCATTATGAACTTGCTTAGTCCCCAAATGACTTTGATTAGTCCTAAATTGTACTTGAAATGGCATAGATGTAACCGTAAGTTCTATGCTAAGAGTTTCTTTTCTCGCATTTCTCGCTTGTGGAAATCTCTTTCAGTTTCTTGCTTTCTCACACCCAGTAACCGCTTTCTCTCTTAGTGGCAGAAATTCGATTATTAAAAAAAAAAAAAAAGAAACCTATTTCTGTTCTTCACCTGTGAGGAGATTGTTCAGCATACACTGCTATATAGGAGGGCCTTTTAAATAATAATTTCCAAACAGAGCACAGAATACTTTTAGTCTAAAGTCATGTTATTCAACCCCATACCATTTAAGCAAGAAAAAAAACCCACCATACTTTTATACCAACATGTTTCCTTTTACTATTTCTTAAATTCTCTCTTCTGTTGCTGTGACAATTAACTACTCGCATTCTACACTTCGTTCCTCTGACACCACATTTTAAGTTGTCTTTGACGCCATCGTCAGTTATTGCCAGGTCCTGTATCGTTTATGCTGCTAGCAACAAACTGATGCAGCTATTGATATATTTCTATGTATACTCCCTGCTGATTTCACCATTCTTCAGCGGTCCTTTGATGTTCTCGTGTCTTGCTTTTTCTCACCTACCAACTACATCCATTCCGTCATCTTGCTCCCAATACACCCAAACAACCCCAGATTCAACCTCAACCTAACTTTATTCCGTGTTAAACCTTTCAAACCGACTGTACATTCTTCTACACTTGTTTTTGTTTTCGTGTTTTTTTTATTCTCATATTCTTGTTATTCTAGTCTTTTTTTTATTTTTATTTTACATTGTTGTTCAGTTTTTGTTTTTTGTTGTTTTTTTTTAACTCGTATCCACTTTCATAATTCTGTTATTCCTGTTCGTTTTTATCCCTCATTCTCACATTATACTCATCCCTGGTATTGATATTTTAGTAACCTTCTAATTCTGCTGTGACTATTTTCAATTTTCTTTTATTCCGTTCTAAATAGTCTCTTTCTTTTACACTGCGAAGTTTAGATATATTTAAACAATATTAAATCAACATATATTATCATTACTCAAATAACATTTCTCACATTCACTCTTTCTATCTATCTATCTATCTATCTATCTATCTATCTATCTATCTGTCGCTCTCTCCCTCTCTATTTATCCATCTATTTGTCTGTCTTCCCAACTACTCTTTTTATACTCCCCGATCTATCGATCTCCGTTTTCCTTCGCTACTCAATACAAACTACTTTATAATCACAGAAACTTCATATTTTCTCTCCCAACATTTCTTTTAATCTTATCTTTCTCTCTCATCATATATACGTCGCTCCTAATCTTCCTTTTCATCTGATCTTTCTCTCGCGCCATTTATACGTCTCTCCCAATCTTCCTTTTCATCTGATCTTTCTCTCTCGCCATTTATACGTCTCTCCCAATCTTCCTTTTCATCTTTCTCTCTCGCCATTTATACGTCTCTCCCATGTTTACGTCTCTCTCAATCTTCCATTCACTTATTATCTTTCTCTCCCAACTATTTTCCCCACATCTTTCTTAATTTATTCGATTATCCTTCTTTTACGCGCTGAGGCCCTTCAGGACATAAGCGATAATGGCTCTCGACAACTTCCTATCCTTTGTAGCTCTTTGTCCCTTAATTTTTGTCTTTTTGCAATCTCTACTTCTGACATCCATTTACCCTAACTCGTTAGTTAGATGAATCGCTGTTTCCATCTACCTCTTTTGCTTTCAATATACCCTGCGAGTGTCAAATTTACCAAGCCACCTTTCTTCATTATGTGTCCCAGAAATTTCACATGTCCTGATTCCTTATAAATATATTTCTCATCTTACTATCCATTTACACAAATTCGTTAACTAGTTTACGTGTGGTTTCGTTTTGTCCACCTGTTTCCTATATATCCCGTGAGTGTTAAATTCTCCTAGCCCACTTTCCTCATTATATGTGAAAGAAATTTCATCTCTTCTGATTTTAAGTATAAGTGGATTTTTTTTTGTTTTCATTTTGCTTAAAACTTCTTTATTGCTCACATGTTCTGTCTATTGCATTCTCAGCATCCTTCTGTAGAATCATATATCTGTTGCCCTTAGTCTCCACTTCACTTGTGAGGAATTGTCCAACATTCACAGCTTTAGACTAGTGTTGATATTGCATAGTAGTTAAGTGTTCTGTTCTTCTAACTAAATGTTCCTGTTTCTTATATACTTGCTTTTATTTAATATATTTCTTTTATTCTAAATGGTCTTTTTATATATACTTTCTTTGTCTTATCATTAGTTCTCTTTAAAAAAAAAATCCAAATTTGGAACATTTGACAAGATCACAAGATTTCAACGTGAAGAATTTTACTAGCTAATCTTGGCCTCTGTTACCTGTGCATAAAACAAAACTCCCCCAGGCATGAAACTGACCACAACTTATTTTGATGAGTTGTACTTTGTATGACATAAGGCCACAAAGACGACAAATAATATTGCAATGCTAACGATCTTGATGAGAAGCATAGTAATCGTAGCTTCACGTTGAGAGACGTTAACATTTGTTAAGTGTTATAAACTTGGCACAAGGTCAGTGATATGGAGCACACAATGAGGATCAAATTGATAGAACTTAACGAATTTCTACGTTTTCTCTTTTTCAATTCCTTCTCTCTATCTTGAATTGTATATATACATACAATACATGCACACATGATATATATATATATATATATATATATATATATATATATATATATATATTTCTGTGGATACTTTTATTTTATAGATATTAAATAATTATCAGACTTAATCCATTTCATATATATATATATATATATATATATAATAGCTGATAAACCCTGTCGAGTGGACAGGGTATTCGTCTATGAAACTCTGGAGTAAGAGATGATTAAGATATAACATAAACAACGAGAAACGTTTTACTTGTATGTATATATATATATATATATATATATATATATATATATATATATCAAGCTTCCCCAAGCAAGGCAGTAAAGCCACTAAGGCAAAAACGGTTAGTGAGTGTGAAAGAATTAAAGAGCGAGGAAAATAAAAAGAAGAGGAATCAAGAAGACACTAGATAACGATTGGCATTGCATTTAAATTTTTGAAAATCAACGTTGGATGGAAAGCAAAAAGCTGGAAGAGAGTTCTGCAAGTACGAGGGAAGAAACTGATATCATTGAACTTCTGGTTAAATCTCACCAATTCAACTGTAAATTGATGAGACCTATTTGCCAATCTAGTACTGCTCTTCAGTTCCTAAAGTCTACGTATCATAGGGTAAAGTTCAGCAGAACAATTACCATAAAAGTATTAATAGAAAAGGTTGTGGGAAGTTACATTACGGCAGTGGAAAAGAGATCGAAGCAGAGATGCTAGGTCAGGACCAATAACATTGCTGATTCTTCTTTGGATTTTGTCAAGAGTCACTAAATATATAGCTATTTCTCTAAATATATAGCTATTTCTGCAGGACGATCTCCTTTGCATACGTAATGTTTTTATATCTATAGTATATTTTGTTCCTTTTTGACTCTCTCATTTCCTGTTTTTATCGATCTATCTCTTCCTACCGCCTTCTCTCTCTCTCTCTCTCTCTCTCTCTCTCTATCTATCTATCTATCTATCTATCTATCTATCTATCTCGCGAGCGCGCTGAGCAATTTTTCATACACATTTTACTTTTCTCTATCAATATATCTATCTCGGTCTATTATCGGTCTCTCATTATATCTCTGTTTCTCACTTAGCGTGTTTTATCTATCTTTACATCTATCAAGCTATCTAACGATCGTTCGTAGTTTGTGTGTGCCTGTTTCTCTGTTTTTTCTCAGACTGTGCACATCTGTGGATTCATGTCAATTCCATAAATTTTCTATCTATCTATCTATCTATCTATCTGTTCATTATCTACCTCTTAATACTGATATACTCTCATCATTTGGCACGATCTTTCATTTCCTCTTTATCTCCACTTGGTCTATTTATCTCAGTCTGTTCATATCTATCTATCTATCTATCTATCTATCTATCTATCACAGTTTATCAATCAATCACAGTATATCTATCTATCAGTTTATCTATCTATCTATCAACCACAGTATATCTATCACAGTTTATCAATATCAGTTTATCAATCTCAGTTTATCTATCACAGTATATATCGATATATATCACAGTATATATATATATATATATATATATATATATGTGTGTGTGTGTGTGTGTGTATCGATCACAGTATAACTATCAGTTTATCTATGCATCACAGTTTATCTACCACAGTATATCTATTTCTCTATCGCAGATTATCTATCTATCTATCTATCTATCTATCTATCTATCTATCTATCTATCTATCTATTTCTATCTATCACGTCACTTTTGTTCTCTTTCTACACATACATATTTTGACATACAAACTACTTTTATCTACATCCACTCATTCAAAACAAACATTTGTATGGACATATATATGTTTGTGATTGTGTGTGTCATATAAATATAGAAAACTGTATATGCATATATGTCTCTGATATGCATTTAAATATTTAACTCTATATACTATAAAATTGTTTTTTGATTTCACAATATATATGTGTGTGTTTGTGTCTGTATATCTGTGTGTTGCGTACTTGTGTGTAACATATATATATATATATATATATATATATATATATATATATATATATATATATATATATATATATATATATATATATATATATATGTGTGTGTGTGTCTGTGTGTCTGCGTGTCTATATATATATATATATTTATATATATATATATATGTGTGTGTGTGTGTGTGTGTAATGTTCATGTTGGGAGTAGTTTTAATTACATTGCTATTCTTAACGGTGTAATTAGCGGTATTCTCTTTAAATTCTAATATTTCCCGTGTTGGTTCAATTTAAAGAAACTGTGAAATATTCATCAACAGCGTGACACTCACTAACCACGGCCCGGAAGCCATTACCTGTTAAAGAAAAAGGAAATTCTTTTGATGTCGAGTTTTTCATTTCTTTTTCTCAGTTTCAGTTTACGCTGCACTTTTGGTTTGTTTTGTTCATCTCCCTTGCACTAATTCTCGTATTGTGGGGGGGGGTAACATAAAAGCAAATATTTTGCAAGGAGACTTTTACCTGCAACTCCTGACCTTTTACTAGTTCTATAAGGCCCGCGATGGGGTTTCGATGAATCGATTTTTATTCTTTCCTTCACCCTCCTTTCTCGCTTTCAATTCTTTCTTCTTTTCTGTCTTCCTTTCTTTCTCTCCTTCTTTCTTTCTTTTTTCCTTTACCTTTTTATTCTTTTTTTTTCCTATATTTTAATATTTCTTTTCTTTTCTTTGACTAATTTTTAGATGAACGATTGAACGATCATCAAACTATTTATCTCAGTCTTCCCATATCTGTTTATCTATCTGTCTATTTATCTAAGTCTTTTCATATCTATCTATCTATCAATGCATCTATCTATCTCAGTCTGTTCATACCTATCTATCTATATCAGTCTACTCATATCTATCTATCTATATATCTATCACTGTCTGATAATATCTATCAATATATATATATATATAAGTTTTTATGTATGTATATATATATATCTATTTATCTAAATATTTTCATATCTATCTAAGTCCGTTCATTATCTATCTTTCTCAGCTTGTTCAACAATCTACCTATCAATCTACCTCAGTCTGTTCATTTCAATCTATCGTTAGAGAAAAAGAAGGTGAAATAGACAGAGTGAGATACGAATAAAGAAAACAGATAGATAATAGATAGATGAATAATAATGAATGAATAGATAGATAGATAGATAGATGAATAGTCAAAGAAAAGATAGATAGATAGATAGATGAATGATAGATGAATAGATGAATGAATGAATAGATAGATAGTCCAAAGAAAAATAGATAGATAGATAGATAGATAGATAGATAATAGATGAATAGATAATATAAAATATAAATAAATATGCCAATGGTCAAAGAATAGATAGATACATACATACATATATACATATATAACTGAACAGTCAAAGAGAAAGATAGATAAATAGATAAGTGAATAGTCAAAGAATAGATAGATAGATAGATAGATAGATAGATAGATAGATAGATAGATAGATAAATCGACAGCGAGAGAAAGAAACAATAAGTGTTTTATGTATAGTGTCAGCATAATATTGCAATTATATTGAGAATTTTTCAAGCTTCAATTCCAAAGGTGTATCATTGTTATAATAAAAATTGATTCCCAAAAAGACGTCCTTTGATGTTTTTCAAATATCACCTAAAAATCCCAAAGTCGTAACATATCCTGAACATCGCGCTTGCTTCTCGAAGGTTTTTTTTTAAACATATCGTTAAGGTGTTTTAATAAACAGAATTGAATAAGGTCTACTGTTTCTCCATAAATGCGTTTCCTTGTTTCTCTTCTCTATCTCTCCTTCTTTGTCCCAGTCTCTCTGAAATGGGACGAAAGAATAATACTTATACGCACCCTTTTTCATTTTCTTCCTCACTCCCCCTCTAATACACACCCTTTTTATTTTCTTCCTCTCTCCTTTTCTAATACACACCGTTTTCTCCTCTCTCCATTTCATTTTTCTTTCTCTCCCTCTCTAACACATACCCATTCTTTCTCTATCTCTTTCATTTTCTTTTCTTCTGTGCATGTCAGTCGTTCCTTTTTATTCGCTTTCCCTTACACACCTACGATTTCATTTACTTTCTATCTCCCTCTCTAAATCACGCAGACACACGCACACACACATAATTAGATGAAAGTCGTCTCTTCATCTATTAAAAACAGTCTTTAGTTTTTCTCTCTGCCTCTCTAACATGAACATTTACACACTCACCGTTTGATATTGTTTGTCTCTGATCACAGTCGCACTCCCTCTCTAACAGACAAACAAGTTTTCATTTACTTTCTCATTCTATTTCTCTCTCACACAGACACACACACGCGCGCGCGCCCAAACACACTTTTACATTTTTTATCTCAGTCTTTCTAATATAAACCTTTTTCATTGTTGTTCTTTTCTCCCTCTCTAATACGCACCCTTTTTCATTTTCTCCTTCTCTCCCTCTCTAATACGCACCCTTTTTCATTTTCTCCTTCTCTCCCTCTCTAATACGCACCCTTTTTCATTTTCTCCTTCTCTCCCTCTCTAATACACACCTTTTTTCATTTTCTCCTTCTCTCCCTCTCTAATACGCACCCTTTTTCATTTTCTCCTTCTCTCCCTCTCTAATACGCACCCTTTTTCATTTTCTCCTCCTCTCCCTCTCTAATACGCACCTTTTTTCATTTTCTCCTTCTCTCCCTCTCTAATACGCACCCATTTTCATTTTCTCCTTCTCTCCCTCTCTAACACGCACCCTTTTTCATTTTCTCCTTCTCTCCCTCTCTAATACGCACCCTTTTTCATTTTCTCCTTCTCTCCCTCTCTAATACGCACCTTTTTTCATTTTCTCCTTCTCCCCTCTCAAATACGCACCTTTTTTTTTTTTTCTCCTTCTCTCCTCTCTAATACACATCCTTTTTCATTTTCTCCTTCTCTCCCTCTCTAATACGCACCCTTTAACATTTTCTCCTTCTCTCCCTCTCTAATACGCATCCTTTTTCATTTTCCCCTTCTCCCCTCTCTAATACGCCCTTTTCATTTTCTCCTTCTCTCTCTCTCTAATACGCACCCTTTTTCATTTTCTCCTTCTCTCCCTCTCTAATACACACCTTTTTTTCATTTCTCCTTCTCTCCCTCTCTAATACGCACCCTTTTTCATTTTCTCCTTCTCTCCCTCTCTAATACGCACCCTTTTTCATTTTCTCCTCCTCCCTCTCTAATACGCACCTTTTTTTCATTTTCTCCTTCTCTCCCTCTCTAATACGCACCCTTTTTCATTTTCTCCTTCTCTCCTCTCTAATACACACCCTTTTTCATTTTGTCCTTCTCTCCCTCTCTAATACACACCCTTTTTCATTTTCTCCTTCTCTCCCTCTCTAATACGCACCCTTTTTCATTTTCTCCTTCTCTCCCTCTCTAATACGCACCCTTTTTCATTTTCTCCTTCTCTCCCTCTCTAATACGCACCTTTTTTCATTTTCAACTTCTCTCCCTCTCAAATACGCACCTTTTTTCATTTTCTCCTTCTCTCCCTCTCTAATACACATCCTTTTTCATTTTCTCCTTCTCTCCCTCTCTAATACGCACCCTTTAACATTTTCTCCTTCTCTCCCTCTCTAATACGCACCCTTTTTCATTTTCCCCTTCTCTCCCTCTCTAATACGCACCCTTTTTCATTTTCTCCTTCTCTCTCTCTCTAATACGCACCCTTTTTCATTTTCTCCTTCTCTCCCTCTCTAATACACACCTTTTTTCATTTTCTCCTTCTCTCCCTCTCTAATACGCACCCTTTTTCATTTTCTCCTTCTCTCCCTCTCTAATACGCACCCTTTTTCATTTTCTCCTCCTCTCCCTCTCTAATACGCACCCTTTTTCATTTTCTCCTTCTCTCCCTCTCTAATACGCACCTTTTTTCATTTTCTCCTTCTCTCCCTCTCTAATACGCACCTTTTTTTTCATTTTCTCCTTCTCTCCTCTCTAATACACACCCTTTTCATTTTCTCCTTCTCTCCCTCTCTAATACGCACCCTTTTCATTTTTTCTCCTTCTCTCCTCTCTAATACGCACCCTTTTTCATTTTCTCCTTCTCTCCCTCTCTAATACGCACCCTTTTTCATTTTCAACTTCTCTCCCTCTCTAATACACACCTTTATTCATTTTCTCCTTCTCTTCCTCTCTAATACGCACCCTTTTTCATTTTCTCCTTCTCTCCTCTCTAATACACACCCTTTTTTCATTTTCTCCTTCTCCCCCTCTAATACACACCTTTTTCATTTTCTCCTTCTCTCCCTCTCTAATACACACCTTTTTTCATTTTCTCCTTCTCTCCCTCTCTAATACACACACTTTTTCATTTTCCCCTTCTCTCCCTCTCTAATACACACCTTTTTTCATTTTCTCCTTCTCTCCCTCTCTAATACGCACCCTTTTTCATTTTCTCCTTCTCTCCCTCTCTAATACACACCTTTTTTTCATTTTCTCCTTCTCTCCCTCTCTAATACACCCTTTTTTCATTTTCTCCTTCTCTCCCTCTCTAATACGCACCCTTTTTCATTTTCTCCTTCTCTCCTCTCTAATACACACCTTTTTTCATTTTCTCCTTCTCCCTCTCTCTAATACGCACCCTTTTTTCATTTTCTCCTTCTCTCCCTCTCTAATACGCACCCTTTTTTCATTTTCCCTCCTCTCCCTCTCTAATACGCACCTTTTTTTTCATTTTCCTCCTCTCTCTCCTCCTCTAATACGCACCCTTTTTCATTTTCCTTCTCTCCCTCTCTACTTTTTCCTCCTTCTCTCCCTCTCTAATACGCACCCTTTTGCATTTTCCCTTCTTCCCTCTCTAATTTTTTCATTTTCTCCTTCTCCCCTCTCTAATACGCACCTTTTTCATTTTCTCCTTCTCTCCTCTCTAATACACACCTTTTTTTCATTTCTCCTTCTCTCCCTAATACGCACCCTTTTTTCATTTTCTCCTTCTCTCCCTCTCTAATACGCACCCTTTTTCATTTTCTCCTTCTCTCCCTCTCTAATACACACCTTTTTTTCATTTTCTCCTTCTCTCCTCTCTAATACACACCTTTTTCATTTTCTCCTTCTCTCCCTCTCTAATACGCACCCTTTTTCATTTTCTCCTTCTCTCCCCTCTCTAATACGCACCCTTTTTCATTTTCTCCTTCTCTCCCTCTCTAATACACACCTTTTTCATTTTCTCCTTCTCTCCTCTCTAATACGCACCCTTTTTTCATTTTCTCCTTCTCTCCCTCTCTAATACACACCTTTTTTTCATTTTCTCCTTCTCTCCCTCTCTAATACGCACCCTTTTTTCATTTTCCCTTCTCTCCCCTCTCTAATACGCACCCTTTTTCATTTTCTCCCCCTTCTCTCCTTTCTCTCCCTCTCTAATACACACCCTTTTTCTCCTTTTCCCTCCTTTTTCATTTTCTCCTTCTCTCCCTAATACACACCTTTTTTTCATTTTGTCCTTCTCTCCCTCTCTAATACACACCTTTTTTTCTCCTTTTCCCCTCTAATACACACACCTTTTTCATTTTCCCCTTTTCTAATACACCCTTTTTTTCATTTCTCCCTCTAATACGCACCCTTTTTCATTTTCTCCTTCTCTCCCTCTCTAATACGCACCTTTTTCATTTTCTCCTTTTCTCCTCTCTAATACACACCCTTTTCATTTCTTTTTCTCCCTCTCTAATACACACCCTTTTTCATTTTCTTCTTCTCTACTTTTTCATTTTGTCCCTCTCTCTTTCTCTAATACACACACGTTTTCATTTTTTCTCCCTCTCCCTCACCAATACACACCTTTTTCATTTTCTTCCTCTCTCTCCTTTTCGAATACGCACCCTTTTTCATTTTCTCCCTCTCTCCCTATCTAATACACACATTTTCCATTTCTTAT